GTTTTACTCTAACGTTTTTAGATTAATTGTGATTTCAGGGTGAATTCCTCCACACACTGAGGGAGAAATTGTATCAGTTTTATACGATTGTAATAGAAAGCTGAAGCCGCCACAATACTTGACTTCATCCTGTGAGGCCAACATTGCAACAAAAGAGAATCACAGGCAAGTATCTCGTAAAGATACAAATACAAAAATCCTACAAACTATTAGTGAATTGTATTAAACCATACATAAAATGACTCATACGCCATGATCAAGTGGCTCCACACTCAGAAACCAGTTTAATAGATTACATCAACAGAAGAAAGAAGAAGAAAAAAGATAACCATACCTATTAGTGTTCAGGCATCTGTACTGGCCTGTCCTAGGGGTTCTGACAGGATATACCTTCAGCTGCAGCCAAGAGCACCACCTGTGCACATTCACTGCGTTCCTTTTTAAAATGGCCCTGCCACCTCCCATCCTCCTGTCTCTCTTTTTCTTCCTCTCTCTGTCTGTAGCCCCGTTTCCTCTCTTCTGCTGCTTTTGTGTTGGTCTTACCCCCATTTCTCCTCTTTATAATCCCTTTCCCTAATTAAAAAAACAAACAAAACAAAACAAAACAAAACAAACCCAAACACCTCTGCTTGAACCCTGTCGCTTGGCATTTTTCTCTTGCATGCTGCGTTTCCACTTTTCTTAAATTACAACAGTACCTATACATGCATTTGTAAAACTTTTGACAAAATATAATGTACATTCATGCTAAAAATCTCTCAGTAACTTGGAATAAAATGAGGCTTTCTTGATTTGATAAAGCGAGCCTATTTAAAACAAAACAAAAGAACTCTATAGCCAACATAACACAATGGGGAGGAACTATGTTTTCTCCTGGCTGCATAAACAAGGCAAGGATCTCCTCCCCAATATTCCTAATCAACATCACAGTGCTAGCTGATGATGGAACGGAACATGGATGGAGAGGTTGGGGTAGGGTGGGGTCAGAAGCAAGAGGGCTTCCTGAAAGTTCAGGCTAAAATTCTAAACAGGGGCTTCCCCAACTTGTCAGTGCAGCTGTGGATGCAAAATGGTGCTGAGGCTCCAGAAGTCAGTGTCTCACAGAGCCAAACACAGCCTTACCATAGGTCTAGGTGCTCCTATATGAGTTCAAATCTATGATCACACATCAACCTGGACATAGCAGTTCACAGTTGCTGAAAATTGGAAGCAACAGAGGGGTCTTTCAGCCACTGAACACAGAAACAATAAATCATTGTTAAATGGTGGGAGGAAATGGGCTGCAAGATTATAATTGTGTGTGTGTGTGTGTGTTACACTTGAGGTGTATGTTGATAGTACACCAGTGCTGAAGCAAACACTGGAGGCCAGGGGACAACTTCACAGAGGCAATTCTATTCTTTCACTTTTATATGGTCTCTGGGGGAAGGAACTCAGGTTGTTAGCTGTGAAGTATAAGGCTTACAGCTGGGAGGGGACAGTTTCCTCCTATACAAGTGTTGCAGCTCTGAGAGGAAATATCCAGTGCCTGTGTAACAGCTCAGAGGGGAGAGGTTTTCTCTATGTTAGCTGTTACAGCTCTAAAGGGAAAGGTATCCCAGAAGTTCAGATCACTCTAGAACTAGTCTGTCATATTCCTCTAAAGCCCCTATCAGGATGTCAATTGCTATTGCATAGAATTTAGAGGCTAATTATAGTCCTGACATTTTTATGATATTGAGTCTTCATCAGCAGCATCGCTCGTCGTTTTTTCTTCTTCTTCCGTGTGTGTGTGTGTGTGTGTGTGTGTGTGTGTGTGTGTGTGTGTATTTTACCCGCCCCCCCCAATCAGTTCATTTGTTGAAATTCTAACCTTCCTGGCCAAGGAAAAAGGGAAAAAATAAACTTTTGTGGGTGATTAAATTGAAAGAGCAATGGGTTAGTGTCCTTATAAAACAGACCCAAGGGTGCTCATGGTCACTTTCCAACAGTTAAGAATACAACAGGAAGGTACTGTCTATGAACAAGGACACAAGTTCACCAGATACTGGATATGCCTCCTCCCCCGTCTTGGACTTTTCAAGTCCTATAATTGTGAAGAATGAACTCCTGCTGTTTATAAGCTATGCAGTATGTTATTTTGTCAGCACAATCCCAAGGAACTAAGACCAACACTAACAAAAGAATCTTAGAAAACACCATTAGGCCAATCTTTTGAAAAAAATTATTTATTTTGTTTTATTGAGACAGAGTCTCTCTCACTATATAATTGATATAGATCTGGAACTTGTTTTATAGACCAGTTTAGCTTCAAATTCCAAGCAATGTTCTCTCTCTTTTCAAAAAAGATTTATTTATGTATACCAGTGCTCTGTCTGCATATACGTCTTTGTGACAGAAGAGGGCATCAGATCCCACTATAGATGGTTGTGAGCCACCAGGTGGTTGCTGGGAATTGAACTCAGGACCTCTAGAAGAGCAACCAGTGCTCTTAACTGCTGAGCCATCTCTCTAGCCCCAAAGTAATGTTCTTGCTTCTGCCTTCTAAGTGCTTGGTTAAAGAGTGTGTCATGGTGCCCAGTCCATTGACCCAAATCTTGATGAATGCTTACTGGTTTGAACAGTTCTACTGTAGCTATTACTGGTGTTGCTTATAATTGCCTGTTCTGTTAGTCATCTTCCTGTCACCATGACAAAATGCCTGAGGTAATCAGCCTAAAACGTGGGAAGTTAATTTCAGTTTACAACTTTTAGAGGTCTCATTCTACACTCAGTGGGCCTTGTTGTTTTTCTTATAGCAGAGATATATCACAGCAAGAGTGCGTGCTAAACCAATCCTATTCCTACTGTACTTCAGCTACATTTTGTTGTTTGTTTATTGGTTTTCTTCCAGAGCTGAGGGCCAAACCCAGGGCCTTGCAAGCACTCTACCTCTGAGCTAAATCCCTGACCCCTTTCTGCGACATGTAATGTGTATTTTTATTCTACTGAAGTAGGTACTGCTTGACCTTAAAATAAAAGGAAAGAACCAGTAATGATTCCTAGGAGCATGCAGCTGGTGGAGGAGATAAGGTAAATACACAAATGTTTCAAACAAAACACAGGGAGTTTAAAACAGAACAAGATGTACAAACCATCCTGGAGGTTCAGAGGCTAAACCATAACAACTGGGCAGGCTTGGGCTAGGGACAACTTGGGGAGAATCCGAAAAACAAAATATCCCATGCAGAATACATCATTTGATTCTAGCATATATGCTGCCTAAGAGCACTGAGAATGTACTATTTGAAAAAAAGGACCTTAAAGATTTAAGAAATCTGGGCACATTTACTGTGCCTAAGGCTGGAGGATAACTTAAGTTCAGAAGCTCTAGTCTAGCTTTGGCAACATAATGAGACCTAGGCAACAAACACAGATAAACAAATTGGATGTGGGGAGACATGCCTGTAATCCCAGTACTTTGGAGGCTGAGACAGGAAGATTGTGAGTTCAGGTCTGGCCTGACCTACATGGGCCAGTCTTGAAAATATAGGAAGCCCTTGTTTCAGAAAAATCTCCCAAATACTGGGGTTGGAGATGAAGCTCATTTGGTAGAGTGCTTAGCTGGGCTCAATTCACAGCACCGTATAAAACCATTTGTGATGGTACAAGCATAAAAAATCCCAGTACATAGGAAGTGGAGGCAGGAGAATCAAGAGATCCAGGCAAGAGCATTTCTCAAAAGCAAACTAATCCAGCTGGAGAGCTGGCTCAGCAGTCAAGAGAGAATGTTCATCCAGAAAACATGAGTTTGTTTCTCAGCACTTACACTGGATAGCTCACAACCACCTGAATCCCAGCTCCAGGGGATGACATCCTTTTCTGGCCTCCACAAGCACCTGAATGCACATGTGTGCGCGCTCTAGAGTACACACACACACACACACACACACACACACAAATCTAAAAAATGAACAGTAGACAGGATATTGGGAGAATACTGTTACTGATAGAGGGAACAACATGATGCAAAACATGAAGGTGGGAAGGAGTTAAGTGGCTCTGTTCAGGATGAATTGTAGATGAGGTAGATGCTAAAAGTAAAAACAACCGACTTGGGCACTAATGTGGGTTTATGACGTTGCTATTCTCCAGGAGCAACCGAAGAAGCTCGAATGGTGGTATGGGGACCACTGTTCCTCTTCCATCTTCTCGTGTGTCTTGAGTTATTTTCTTTGCTTTGTCAGCACAGCAACATACCAAAACTTTAGACAACAAATGAAACCTCACTCTCCTCATCTACCCGTGTCGCTGAGAGTAGAGCGGGGAGGGAGTGTCTCTCAAAAGTCAGGGCAGAAGGGTCTACTTAATTATGTTCTGCACAAGCGCTCTGGAGTCAGCATTGAGGAGAGGGTACTGAGATGGAGACGATTGACTAGAGATTTAGGTGGCTTAATGATAACATCAGGGGAGTTATGATTTCAGGGTGTCAAAGAGGAAGTCTGTAACAGAGACACAGATAGCAAATTCCAAGCTGTGTGCCAGGAGAATGAACCATAGCTGTAGGTTCTTAAGACAGCCTAGGTCTAAAACTGGCACGGGTTGGCAAAGAGGGTTAGTCAGTGGCTACAGCTGGACTAAGAAGTAACCAGAAAGAATTGTGTACTCGGACATTATAGGTCAGTGACAGCACTTGCTTTGCATGCACAAGACTGGGGTCAATCCCTAGCACCAAGCAAGTGTGTGTGTGCGCGCGCGTGCGCGCGTATGTGTGTGTGTGTGTTGTGTGTCAGAAGAAATGTAACCCCTCCCGAACAACCCCCCCCCCCATCATGAAGAGGGACCTGTAGAAACTGTGTTCAGTGATCTTAAGGTTTCCTTCCACCCACCAAGGCTTTGATGTCATGTAGGAGGTACCACTGAGCAAGGTGGCCCAGGTGCAAAATCACTAGAGCAAGCAAAGCTTGGTGGGGGTCTACTGTATAGCCAGCAAAGGCTGTAGTCGGGCTCTTTCTAGTCTGTACGGTTCTGAGATCCACCTGAGTCCAAGGACACCTGCATGGGGCTCTCTTGGCCCACAGGCCTCAGGGAGCTCCGGCTTCCGCAGGGCCTTCTCCCGCAGGACCCGCACCCTGCGGCGGAACTTTGGCTCCCTTTCCCTCTCCCCGGCGTACGGGAAGCGCTGGTACCGGGGAAAGCGGGCCTCAGAGGGCGGCGCACACCATGCGGGTCCCGCAGCTCCCCGCCTCGGCCTCGCGCCTGCCGCCCCCGCGGCACGGCCGCAGCCCCAGTGAGGAGGAAGAGGCGGAGGAGGAGGCGCCGCCCCCTTGGCGAGCTCGGCGCCCCGGCGGCCTTGGCAGGACCCATGGCGGATCTCTCGCCTGCGCCGGCCCCGCGGGAAGGCGGCCCCCGTGCGTACCGGCCCTCGGCGCCATCCCCGCCGCCGCGCTCTTGCTCCGGCTCTGAGCCCGACGAGGCCGAGCTGTCGCTGAGCCTGGCCCGCACCAAGACCCGCTCGTACGGCAGCACGGCCAGCGTGCGGGCGCCTCTGGGCGCCGGCGTCATCGAGCGCCATGTGGAGCACCGGGTCCGCGCCGGAGACACGCTGCAGGGCATCGCGCTCAAGTACGGAGTCACGGTGAGCAAGCAGAGCGCGCCTCTGCGGCCCGGGCCTGCGGCCTCCGGGCGGGGTTGGGGATGGGAGCGGAGGGTGGGGAGCAGGCCGTGCGTCTCCGCACTGCATCCCAGCGCGCGCTGATGCAACTGCTGCTGCTGCTGCTGCTGAGAATAGGGGTAGCCACCAGGACTTCCCAACCAGCTAGTGTGTGGCGTTCCCAGATCCCTGCCAGTCTCAGACCCCTGTCTGTCGTGAGAGAAACACTAAGGAGGTCCGCGTTTTTGGCATCACCAACACAGCCATCTTTACCCGTTTAGCTCACTACATATTTACTCAAAGCCAAACTGATGCGAATTCTGCGCTGTGTAAACAAGCTGTGATGAGTCAGGATGTTCAGTTCTTCCCAGGGGTGGTTCTGGTTCTATTGATTCTGTGTCTTTATTTAGAAGTGAAATGACACCCCTGGGCTCACTGGCAACCCTGAATGTGACACCTGTCACTAAACAGCAGCCAGGGACTGTGGTCTAGGTGAGCTAGAGGGCTGGGTTTTACAAATTTATAAGGGATTGAGTCTTAGGTATATTGCATTACACCCCAGGGAAGATCATGGAAACCCGAGGGAAGAAATTGTTTCATTAAAATTACTTATAATCAGCTGTGAGCTGTGTGATAGCTTTTTAACATTGGAACCCAGTATTCGTTTTCAGTGATCCATCCTGAAGCTTCCTGGGCAGCAATCAGAAGAAAGATGATCTTGCCTGCATCTTTAGAGTAACCTATTTTGCATATTTAACCAGGTATTTGTTTACCAGCAAGTCTTTCTATCATTTAAGCGTTCTCAGGGCACGATCACCACATTTTGAGATTCTTCTTGGCAGTTCTAATGTGAATATATCTAAAGCTGCCTTCATGCACATCATTGGGGTCTGGTTTGGGTTAGAGCCAATGAAAAGCAGAACTGAGAAATATCAGTGGCTGCTCTTTGCTTAGTACCCACTGTGTGCCAGGCATCACATTTTTAGGAAAATTTTTAATTTTTAGGACAAAGATTCATTTATTTTTATCTATATGAGTGTTTTGCCTACATGCATGTATGTGCATCATCTGTGTGCCTGGTGCCCACAGAGGCTAGAAGAGGGTGTCAGATACTCTGGAAATGGAGATACAGAGGGTTGTAAGCCATCATGTGTATGTACTGGGAATTGAACCCTGGTTCTCTGGAAGAGCAGCCTGTGCTCTTAGGACCACCTCTCCAGCTTCTGTTTGTTTTCATATATCTTATTTAATTTGGTTTTCATAAGAAGACTAGGGGAAGCCAGGCATTGGTGGTGCATGTCTTTAATCCCAGCACTCGGGAGGCAGAGGCAGGCATATCTCTGTGAGGTCCAGGCCAGCCTGGTCTATAAAGCTACACAGAGAAATCCTGTCTTAAAAACAAAATAAAAGCCTAGGGAGACAGGTATGGTTCGTCTTCTTACAGATGAGAAGATAGATAAGAGGTCTGGTATTTCCAAGCATACTTATCTAGACCAGCTTGAATTAACATGGGATAAAGTATTTTCCTTTGCTCTAGATATTACTCCTGATCTACATTCTTAGCAAGAGCGTTCTAGCATCCTGCTCACTGAAGAAGGGAGGTCATTTTGTCTGGTTTCTGTGGGTCTTAGCTACTAGGCTAGTATTGTACACTTAGGAGCCTACAATATCTAAATGAGTCAAATTTCCTGTGGTCTCTTCTCATGACAATTTTTCTGTGACCTATGGTTTTCTAATTGCTTGGATCTGCTAAACACCTGCCTAGTTCAAATGCCTTCTCACCTGTGATTTGTCTAATGTAGGTCCTGTTACTTTTAACCTTATTACCCTTTCCCATTAAAGTATAAAGCAGAGTTTCATTACTTTTGTAAAGACTTCTGCTTTTATATTTTTTAAAATGTTATTTTATATGCAGGGGTGTTTTGCCTTCATGGATATCTGTGTACCACACGCATGCCTGGTGCCTGTGAAGGCCAGAAGAGGGGCTTGGGTCCACTTGGGACTGGAGTCACAACCTGTTGTGAGCCACCTTGAGGGTGCTGGGAATAAAAACCTGGTCCAGGGTAGAGCAGTCAGTGCTCTTGTCCGCTGCAGAGTCTCTCCAGCCCAACTTTTGGTTCTAATGTGTTAGAGTCAGGCATTATGAATTAGGTACTCAATGGTTACAAGAAGTCTATAATGTGATTTCTCAACCTCAGCACTATTGTTAATGTTTTTAATTCTTATTTATTTATTTACTTATTTATTTATTTATTTAAAGTCAGGGTCTCACATAGCCCAGAATGACCTGAATGACCTTGAACTCCTGATCTTCCTGCTTTTACTTGCATCACTATGCTGAAGTCTATTGATACAGATGGTACGATTCCATGTTTCAGGAGGCTGTCCTGTGCATTGTAGGATATTTAGCACCACCTCTATTCTATGCTTTACCTACTGGGTACTCACCCTCTGACTCTCATCCATATACATTGCTGGAAGTTCTCTTAAAGGTAGACTCACCTTTGTCCCCCCTCCCCCTTCGAGACAGGGTTTCTCTGTGTAGCCCTGACTTTTCTGGAACTTGCTTTGTAGACCAGGCTGGCCTCAAACTCACGGAGATCCACCTGCCTCTGCCTCCCAAGTGCTGGGGTTAAAGGTGTGCACATCTACCCACCTGGCTTCTTTATTCTTATTTCATTACTTTGAGACCTGAATTCAAGCTGATGAAATTGTTTTGGAGATGCTTCTAATGGTTACAGAGAACCAGGGAAAAGTGATAATATTTATCTTAAGTGGGTATATTGATACATACCTGTAAGACCAGTAGCTCTTGGGGAGGCTGCAGCTAGAAGGTTGCTGCATAATAATACCAACAAATAAAACCATCAACCAACCAACCAACCAACCAAACAAACAAAAAACCCTATCCATAATAGCCAAGTGTTATTCTTACTTAATTTATTTACTTTTGGTTTTCTGAGATAGGTCTCTCTGTGTAACCCTAGCAGTCCAGGAATTCATTCTGTAGACCAGGCTGGCCTTGGACTCAGAGATCCCCCTGACTCTGCCTCCTGAGTACTTGGATTAAAGGCATGTGCCACCACTGCCCAGCTATAGGTCAATCTGATATGAGACATTTTCTCAACCGAAAGTCCCTTTTCTCAATGATTCTAGCTTGTGTCAAGTTGATATAAAACTAACCAACACAGGTAGGTTTTGTTTTGAGACAAGGTTTCCCAGTATAATCCTAGTCTGACCTTGCATTCATAATCCTGCCTCAGGCTCTGTAATGCTGTACGTGCACTACCAGCCCTGTCTAGGAAGGATCATTCTGGCTGCTGCTTTGATAATAGACTATCTGGACCAGGACCAAGGAGAGACCAGATAGGATGAAGGCTTTTGTAGTGATGCAGATGAGCTACAACAGTAACTTGGACCAGAGCAGTGAAGAAGGGGAGATATGGTGAGAAGTGGCTGGCTAGGTTCTGGGTGATCTGTTGATAGGCTGTCAAGTGTACCTAAACTGTAGTCCAGGGCCAGAAGCACACCAGCCATGAATGTGACTTAATGTAAAGTTATAAACTTAGTTAAAACATTATGGATTTGGTTTTGGGAAACTTGATTGCATGGTTCTCAAGTATGAACTTTATTGATACAGCATCAGTCATAATGTCAAAAAGTTGTACATGTTTGCATGTTCATTTTTAAAAAACATTTATTTTAAGAATATGAGTGCTCTATCTGCACACACAACTTTATGCCAGAAGAAGGCATCAGATCCCACTATAGATGGTTGTGAGCCACCATGTGGGGGCTGGGAATTGAACTCAGGACTTATGGAAGAGTGGCCTGTGCTCTTCCATCTTTAACCCCCTATATGTTCTTATTTGTTTACTGTTTCTCTTGAGTATATTTGACCTAGACAGTTGCCTGGAGACCCAGGAGGCCTCTCTGTAAAGAAGGAGGATTCTATTTGAGAACTGAGCCAGGTTGATTGGGCCCAGTTCTTCCTCCAGTGAGTTATGACGTTCCCACAGTCTCCTTTCTTCAGTGAGTCACTAATAACTCATACTCGTTATCTCATCCTTTACTCGTATTGAACCTGGGTTATTTGAGGCCTGTGTTCGACACCAGGGCTACACGATCAACTGTTCTCTCTTTCCGGCTCCTGAGAGTTGGACTGGGATAAGATTGTCACCCCAGGAGTTAAGAAGGTAGGATTCTGTGTTGGGACTAAGTGAAGACAGCACCCTGCTAAAGATGTGAACTACCAGAATTAATTAAAGTGGTTCTGGAGACATGGCCCAGTGGTGAAGAACACTTGCAGAGGACCTGGGTTTGGTTGTTAACACACAGATGATTACTCACAACCATCTCTATGTAGTTCAAGGGCTTCTTCTGACTGTCTCCTTGGGCACCAGGCATGTACATGGTGCATATATACACATGCAGGCAGTACACATAAAATAAATAAACATAAAGTGGGTTGGGTGAGAGGTATGACATGCACCTCAGGGTGTGGGTGGAGGTCAGAGTTCAATTTACAGGAGTCAGTTCTTTCTTTCCATCGTGTGGATCCCAGAGACCCATTTTAGGTCATCTGACTTGGTGGCAAGTGCTTTAACTACTGAGCAATCTTGTAGGCCTTCCTTTTTTTTGTTTCTTTTGAGACAAGAATTCAGGCAGCCCAAGTGATCCTTGAAATCGCTATATAGCCCACACTGGCCTTGAACTCCTGATCCTCGTGCTACTCCACAGGAAAGGCCGGTTTGATCCTCGTGCTACTCCACAGGAAAGGCCGGTTCTGTCTCCCAGCTGCAGCTGCTGGTGTGTGCTGTTAGTGTGTGCTGTCCCCTCCTCCAGTTGTGAGTCTCACACTCCGTTACACACAGGTTGGCCATCTCTACTACAGTTTGAGGAAGTGGTTCTGGGAAACTGAAACCATTTGGGTCTGGTTGAGAAAACCATTAACTGCTGTTCAAACATCAAACATAAACTTGCTT